TTTTGGTGTACCCCTTTTTTAAAATAGACCAATTTTCTATCCATTTTAAAAATATCCCTTTTCAAATATGAAAAATTGTAAACTTTTATATAGTTTATAAGGTACATCTAAATCACCATTACTATTGGGAGACTCAATACAAATATTTATAAAGTTTTAAAAAGGTTCTAAACGGCATTTATAAGACTTTTATAAGTTTTTTTATAAGGTTTACAAAGTTTTTATATGTTTTAAAATAATTTTTAAAAGGTTTTTAAAAGGTATATACAATATATGGTATTTAAAATTTACACACATAGAAAAATAATTTGTGTCTAAATATATAAGCTTACACATTTTTTCTTATAAATATCAAATTTTTTACTTTTTAATTTATAAAAAATACCTTTTTCCATACCACTTTTTAAAAATACCCTTATTTCAAAATTTATTAAAAAAACCACAATAAATGTTGAAATTTATCCAAATATGTGTGTAAACTTATAAATATACACACAAATCACTTTTATATATGTTTAAATTTTTATATATCTTTCATAAATAGCATAAAATAACTTATAAATACCTTTTAAAAACCTTTACCTTATAAACCCTTTTAAAAACCACTTAAAAACCTTTTAAAACTTGTAAAAATGATTTAAAATCTTTTAAAACATTATAAAATATTTGTATCAAACTTCCAAGTAGTAGTTCTTATATATAAGTACCTTATAAACCATATAAAACTTTATAATTTTTCATATTTAAACATGGATATTTTTGAAAATGAATAGATAGAGGAGGTATTTTTGAAAAAGGGTACACAAAAAGGGGTATTTCTCAAAAATTCTCTTTAATTTTTTATAATTATTTTTTAATGTTGTTAAAAATTCTATTTTTATCTTAATATTAACAAAATTAGATATAAAATGTTGCGACATCTTATGTTTTTACTTGACACTTATCATGATCACGTGAGTTAGTAAATTTAAAAACCAAGTTTCGACATATAATCTTGTTTAATTGTTAAACTTAAACCATAATTTTAATTTATAAAGATAAACCATAATTTTTATTTATCATTTATATACCCAAACCAACAAATAACCTGATTTAATTGTAAAATTAAAGTTGAAACCTTAATCCTCTTATGTAAACAAAAACCGCCGTATATTCTTGTTAATTATAAATTTTAAATCCCTATCTTATTAATAAACCAAATTGACATAACTGAAATTAGGTTATTTGTTTAATTTATTAATAATTTTTAATATATAATTCTTTATAATATTTATTTTATATATTTTCTTTTTCGATATGGTTAATAATATTTCTATTTTATCCAAATATTAACAAAATTAGTTACGACACGTGTCAATATCTTATATTTTATAATTGACACGTGTCACGATCTTGTTAATGGCTAACTTTGAAAACCAAGGTTTATATAATAAGATATATCATCCCTTTTAAACTAGTCATTTTTATTATTTAGGTTAATAATTCTTCAATAATTAATTTCTCATTTATTTCATTCTTAAATTATTACTTATACAATTATTATTTATAGTATATGATAATATTATTTTTTTATTTAACTTTAAATCTATTATATTTTCGATCAATTATTCTTTTCTGTTAAAAGTTGATCAATTATTCTTTTCATTATTTATTTGTTTATAAATAAGTTGATCAATTATTGAAGTTATCAAAATTATTAGCTCGTGGTTTGCTCGTTGATCAGGTTGATACATCATACACAGGGAGTTATTATCTACAATATATAGAGGCTTATAAGAAAACTAATAACAGGTTACATTTGACGATTAGTAGTAGAGATGGCATAACTGGCCCGTATAGAGAAGATGATAATACGAAGAAGCTTAATGATTGATTTAGGTTTATGGTTTTGTAATATGCTTGTATATATACTCAATTAGGAACGAATTTTAATGTTAGGTGTAGGTGTACCAAAAAAGAGTGAGAACAAATTTAGTATATTATAATATTCTCTTTCCTTTTAATCGTTGAATTTCTAATTTACATATATACCAGATCAGATGACCGACCTGTATATTACATACCTACATGATATGCAAGTTGCAAAACAAGATCGTGAAAACCATGAAAAAATTGTTAAACCCAAGATCTGAGGAAAAAGGAACAACAAGAGGATCTTCCCCTAAGTATATGTGTTAACTAGTAACTGAACACAATAATGACAATATATATCTCATTAAGCGATTTGCATTTCAAGTAATGAGATTTTTCCTTAATTTAACCACGTGGTTTTTGGCATTTCGATCCAATTCATACATATACATTACTCTGGTCGTCGATGAACGTGATCATAACATTATTAATACGTCTTTATATTGCAAGTAGCCTTACTTTACAAATCCACTACTGTGTCTTCACAGTATATATACACATGTATTAGTTATTTCACTATATCACGAATGAACTAAAACTCTCTCATTAAAGGTTTCTTGTTTTTATTTGCTTCAATTTCAAATTCCATGAATAATATTCACTTGCAAAAGAAAAGAAAAATAATTATCAAGAATTTGGAGAAGAAAAAATAAATAATTGATGGGAGCTAGCAAAGAATCCAACCTGTATTAATAATTATTAAGAGAAACCATTATTTGAAGACAAAGAATGCTCTAACCTTTCATGTGATGTAATACTTCCATTTTTGCCACAACTACTTCGAACAGAAAGAGAAAACAAATACTGTATCTCACCTATGTGTGATGTCTCTAAAATCAAATCTTTATAAATATACTCACATTGGTCCATTTTTTAAATATATAAGTGGAATTATATTTTCAAAAATAGATAACGTTTATACAATTAGTGCATCGTGAGTTTCAAAAATAGTAATCTAAAAACAAATATTTTTGAACTTAGGTTCTAGACTCAAACCAGGTTTGTACTCTGTCATCAGGTCTATTGTCGAGATAGAATTGGATCTGAAAACCGATCTCTCATTTGTTTGTCTTTTTAATCTATTAATCGAGTTGCCATGTTCAGAATCTCGCCATTCCTTCTCCTGTTTCGCTCTTGCCTTATTATGTAGACTAAATTCACACATTGGTTAGCTTTAGTCTTGAGCTGCCTAATATGAAAATGTATACATACAATATAAATCATCATTCCAACACTTAACATTTTAAACTTTTACTGTGATAGTATATGATCAACTTCTCTATAAGCTAAAAGGACTTAGATTAGATGTTGACCTAATTTGTCAATATTTTAACGACTTTTCTTTTAACAATTCTTCTTTCCAAGAATGTACTATAAAAGGCATCGGAGTCATATTAGCGCACAGGAAATATGCATTGGAGTGTAAACCATAGCAAAGTCCTTTTTGAGGTGCAATGCATCTTAGTTTGAATTTTCTTTTAATCAGATGCTATGATTAGTTACGTTAATATATTATTACGGTTAGTGTGTCCTAATCAAGCTCCCTAGTTAATCCAAAGCACTCTAATCCAACAGGGTTGACATGGTCATATCACATGGTACCAAAACGTTCATTGAGATCAAAACATAACAGAAGCTCCTAATCATCACCTTGGAGCCCACAACCAATTAAATTTAATAAAACAACATATCATATGGGTTTGCAAATACATTGAACTATGCCCACTTATAAAGTTGTAATTATTTTAATCACATTAATAGATAGATATCTAACTAGTATAGCTTTTAAAATATAGTATAACTCTACACTTACGAATTATTAACATAACCAACGGCCAAGGCCAACGCACCTAGGGACACAAACACATCCTTTCAAACTACACAATTACTCTCAAGAAGTCAAACAGCGCCGTTAAACTTAGTAAATCTCGGCCCAGTCTCATATTAAACAATCTCAGTCTACATATATTTGAATGGGCTTTGTGATTCCACTTAGTTTATTATTCACATTTTGTGGTTCAATCGCTTGCAGTTGTCAAAAACCAATTGCTCGTCGGGGACGAAATCCTTTCAAGCTTATTATAAAGTTTGTCGGAATGGTTGAAGAAAGTTTCTGTGATTTGTATTAATTATTAGATTGACACGTGCTTTCCTTTTTTAGTAGCAAATAATATAACCATGAAGATGACAATATATAGTTCAACCGACTTATAGATTATATTAGAAGTTAGAACTTAAAAAGGTAAATCAATCAATTTTCAAGTTCGAATCTCGTAGTTAAAAAGTAACGAATTTCACATCATATAAGTTTTGTGACAGCACATGTGTATTTTTTGTTATCTTTTTAATTAAGAGACAAATGTAATAAGCGAAAAACCTTAATTTTGAGTTACTCTTTTACTTAAAGTCTTCAACAAAACATGACATATATATATTTTTCTTCTTGTTACTTTTTTTTTTTTTTGTAATTCTTCCTGGTCTTCGATTTCTTACTTATGGTGCTTCAAATCTGCTGAAGAGTCGATAGGAAGAGACGAGCGAGAGCAACATGTAGAGAAGGGAGACAACGAACGTGAACACAACCGAGATCAATGCCTTGTGACAGAAGATTCCGTATGAGTCACAAGCAGAGCTCCAAGTGATGGGTATGTTTCCATAGTATGCTAAGTAAACCGTCTCAGCAGATACAGACCCAGCCGCTAGAACCAGGTACGTGACCACCTGGTCAAGCAAGAACAATGTCCACACTTGGAGCTTGCTTATTGGACACGGAAGGGCTAATATTGCGAGAGCAGAGAGAAGAGAATATGCTGCACAAACGCCATTAGCAATCACCAAATACCTACAAAGCAGAGAGGAACAAAATCAAACGTTCATTGATTGATTGACTCTTTTAGTGAAGCAAGAAGAGAGAAAGAGGGAGAGATAGAAGAAGGTGAACATGAAAGCTCCAAGATTTGAGTAAGAGATAGAGCCAAAGTCGTTGGAGATAGAGTTCTTGATCATGATGACGAGACCCACAATACTTAGAGCCATTGATACAACTCGCAGGGACGCCTCTGCTGTTTTCTCAGTGCGATTAAGCTCTAAAGCTGAGCCGTCAATGGCTGTTTGATCAGTCTTGTCCATAATATGTTTTGGTGTTTAAGGAAAGAGAGTTTTTTTTGTCTTTTATAATGTACGTTAAGGGTTACAAGTCACTATAGACAAGATAGTTACTCAAGCATTCAATATAGTCATGTGATTATATGACGTTACTAACCTTAATTTTAGGTGAATCTCTTGTTTTGTTTGCTCTAATAAATCAATTTTCCCCAAATTTGGTATTACGTACCAGAAATGAAGAGAGTTTGATACTTTAGATTAGGCCTTAGTAATTAATGATATATAGGTTGCTTATTTATTAATATGTCTCCGTTTCATTTATGACTTTCGGGTTTATGGGGCTATGTTACGTACGTTTCTCTCAATCCTTGTTTAGAAATTTCGTTCACACGAATGGTCCAGTGTATTTTTGTTGCACATGTTGGAAGGACTCTCTGGCGCATCAAGAGACTTCCGTCCATGTTCATGTACATCTTTACCTAAGGTATATCAAGATTATTATGTACGCTTAATTATATTAGTCGGGTTTATAATATTAAATGGATTCCGATCCACCCATGGCTTGGGGAGACCATAAGAATTTTGACCACCCTCAAGACAGATCGAATAGAATCATGAGAAATAGTTGTAATGTGAATAGTATTGAATTCGTAGCACTAGTTTATCGCATCAAAATGATTATTAGTATCGAACGTTGCATAATCCACGTACGCGTCGCATCTTTAAGCATATCATACGAGAATCAAACATATAATATATCCAACTGTGATTAAATTCATGGGTTAAGAGGCAATAAAACTAAGTAATATTAGATCTCAACTTGTGTTAACGGTACACATGTTTTGTTTTCTCCTTTTGTTAACATAATAAGAAGTGACGTACTAATTTTACAAAAATATGGTGAATTAGGTAAGTAGCCTTATTATTTCGACCATAAACTAAGTAATCATGAATATGGTAGAAAACTGCACGTAAGAGAGGGAAGGTGTTTTCATGCAAATTGATCATTTTTTAGAAAAATTATGCACTCCAACGAAATTGTTGATTATAGAAATAATGTTACTCTTGGTAAAAAAAGCGTTTGCTAAAATAGAATTGACAACTAGATGGCTCAAAGGCATGTTTGCTATTAAGCGAACTCACTTCTTGCCCAAGTGATTTACTTCTAAGTTCCAACACTTGCTTGATATAGTTACCCAAACGTATATTCCCTTATATAGTTTGTTCCATTTCTGGATGATAAGGGGAATAATAAAGAAAGAAAGAAAGGGACAGTATATAATACTTTGACAAAGTGATGTTAGATTCTAAGAATTCTTACGATAAGCTCAAAAGTGTGAAAGAAAAAACCGGAGAGGTTTTTCTGTTTTCTTTTGCTAACTAAGAAAGTTTCTCGGATTTTCAAGAAGTTAATTGTAATTTAAAGAACATGTGAAGCATGAAAGACTAATTAACGAGGTGAATGGTGTAACTGTTGAAACATATAGATATGTACTATATATATATATATCTGGTTTAGATTGGTTTTTGGTTGTTTCATGGCTAAGTGTTATATGTACTATATATATATATATATATATATCTGGAATCTAACATGGAAGAATAGAGAACGAAGGAGAGCCAAGGTCAACTTGCCAGACACAAATCAACAGATTGTGAATGAGACCAAATCAATGGTCATAAACCGGTTGTGTTTAAAACCGGCAAGTCATCCTTGGCTCAATTCCATTCTTTATTCCTTCATGCGAGACCCTCTGATACAACCAAAGACGACTAGCTCCCATATATCATCTTCTTAATTGTTTCATATTTGTTATCTCTTTCTTGACTCTTGTGTTGTGGTAAAGCCTAGTCGAGATGTGTCTGTATTTATAGGCATACGAAGGATATGTAATATTGTTTTGTTTGTAGATTCCATTTCCATATGCATGGCTGAGAATTTTGACCAAAACCCTAATTCAAGAATAAAAATCTAAAAGATGGGATCAAAGAATATAATCTAATCGATAGGCTGACCACATTTTCCGATTTAATTCGAATAGTTTATATTCGTTCCACTACTTTATGGCGCAAAAATTTGTAATTAAGTAAGACAAATAAATATATATTTAGATGGCCGTAGAAACCAGTAGAGGAATTTAAACTTATTTTTTCGTTCGTGGATAAGTGGAATATATACATTAGAGAATGGTCTTTACGGTGGGAAATGAGAACAGCATTATAATATCAGATTCTATACACATATGTGCATGTTTGTATAAATTAAAATAAACAAGTTTAAGCATTCTTCAACAAGATTTACAAAGTTCTAGACTCTTTTAGCGTCGGCAAAGGCCAATGGTAAAAGCTTACGTCAACAAAAGTCTCTAAAAATCCATTAGAGGTTTCAGGTTCATCAGGAAGATTCCAAAACAAACCTTTTTCTATGTACAATAGAGACGGTGGCGGGAAGCTTGAAGTAGCAAAATGGTCCCATGCGACGCCGTATTGGCGCGGCCACCTCTCTGCGCCATAGAATAGAGAGGTGGTCCTTTTAGCTTAATTTTCTTCTGTGGTTTCTATAAAACCGTATCAGTTTTAAATGCTATACATGGTACGACGACGTCTAACAACTATGTTACCTGAATTGTCCCATCGGCGCATAAATATGTGGTTGAAATTTTTCTTCTAGCTAGCTAGTTTGTACTTGGAAAGTGTAGAGTAACACATCCATTGTAGTAGCATATGTAATTAATATATGATTCAATAAAATAACTTCAACACTGAAATGACTCTTATATGTTAACAAATTTTACGTTGTAAATAAGATAAAATATCAAATGTTGGATGACCATAACACTTACAAAATAAGAACATAACAGTTAAGAAAAAAATTATTCGAAAAAAAGAAGAAAGCAAAGTTTTAAACTTGTGCAAAGAAAACCTAAATACCCAACCTATACAAATTGGCTTTTGAATGTAGTAAGAGGCGGTAGTGTAATATTGTCTATGTCATATTCACGAATTAATGCTAAAAGTTTGGCAAATCTTTGGTTGGCCAACTCATTTTGCTATGATATGTTACCACCATTATTTATGTTGCTGTCAAAAAAAAATATTTTCCAAAGTTTTAAAATATAATATATAGCTATAGTAACGGGTACCTACGTATCATATCACACAGCCATATATTAAGAGGATTATTAGAACTAAGGAATCTGATATGATTATCTTAAATTAAGTAACTTAAAAAAAAAAAATTAAATCATTGAGCTACCTTCTCTGAAAACAAGTAAATAGTGCAAATTTTTTTTTTTAAAAAAAATTAAAGTTCTATGAATTTACACTCTTTACTTGTTTTAAAAGAGATATTTGAAGTCTAAAAAGGTGATGGTTGTCGCTAATTTATTTCGGCTAGAATTATAAAGGAAGAATCCCCACACCGTCGTCCCTTTTGAAAGCAACATCGTACCTATCAATTGATTTTGCATCCGTACCACTGTGTTTATAGATTGTTGTTTAAGTGGTGTTTATATATATTTTCCAAATTAGGTTGTGTTATTCAAATGAGTTCATCATCATATAGGTTTCAAAGCCAAGGACGGTTCTAATTTGTTACACTGATACTCACTTGACTTAGAAGATTACCAGATTATTAAGCTCGTTGACAAAAAAAAAGAAAAAAGGAAAACAAAGTATGTTGTATGTGAATTATGGTGGTTGATTAATTATTACGTATCTAAAGATAATACCATATCATATGAAAATTAGGTTTGATTTTTGTCGGGAGTGTAAAAGTACTCTTCCACATATTATATCATTGTCCATTCGTAGATACAAGTACTTCGATACTCTCTCCTATAAATTCACTTCAACTCCCACCAAAACCCTTCACAACTATCGTGTCAAACAATATCTCTCGTTTTCCATCTTTTTGTTTTTCCTTCCTTCCCATGCGCAACGAAGAAGCTTTCATCCTCCAAGATTCTCTTTTCGATTCGGAAGCTCTCAATCTCAATCACCAATGGAAGCAGTTAAGACCTCCAGGTTCATCACTGAGGTGGCTCCGGCTAAGTTTATATCTGCGACGAGAGAACCATTCAAGAACATGCTGACAACAATCTCCGAGGAAGACTTCGACTTTGAAGAATTAGTAAGGGCCACTGCAGAGAGACTCTCTTCTTCTTGTCCAGGCTCCTCCTCCTGGTCTCTTGCTCGTCACTACGCCAAGATCAACAGACTCTCTTCTTCTTAATACCATTCTATTGCCATCCCATAATGCATCTTTTTCTTTTTCAATAAAGCCGAAGAAGTCTTACGTTTCTTGGCCCAATCAACTTTGAAGAGAATTTTTCATCTACTTCTCGTTGCTGAGTTGTTATCTTGCTTCACTTGTGTTTAGCTTTCTCTAATCATTTATGGTTGATCCTTTTATGTACTACCGACCCAACCATGAACCATCATCCATTAATTTTACTGGAACGAAGCAACGTCGATGTTAATGTTTAAAGAGCACAGCACGCATAGAAACAAAACAAAACAAAATCCAAGAACACTCTTATATAATTTCCACAAGACTAATAACAAATTTGTGTCAAGTTTCATCGATAAGAGGAAAAAAAGAAGGCTTTATATTATACAGAATGAGTTATATATATTATCTTTCTTTTTTTTTTCCTTTTCCGGTAATTTACTTTTACTCTCTTCCAAAAATGTAAAAATAATAAAGACCCTCACAGGAAAAAAATCTCGATCCACTCTCTCTGTATCACACCAACCAGATGGGTTAAGCAACGATGGAAAATGAGGACTGGGGAGAGCGATTGTGTTGTAGGCAACCAAGTAGATAGAGGCTTTTAAGTATCCAGAGATTGAGTCATTTTGGTTTAAACAAAGCAATCGTTCACGAGTACTTCTTCTTGCTGATTTCCCAGATACGGTTTACAAGATCTGCTTTTAATTCCTCTGGAATCTGCGATTTTAAACTTGTTTTTACATCTTCAATCAACCTCCTCCTGCACAACACAAGGTTCAATCATCCACAAAATTGATTAATACTAGAGGCTTGTGATGACGCACGAAGCTAAAAGAGGTCCATATCCAATATATTCAAATTTCTAGCTACTATACTCAAGCAGGAAGGCAGTGAAAATATGAGAAGATAGTAGAGCAAAGCAAAAAGGCTGGTTTCACTTACTTCAAGTCGTTACCATCCTCTCCTTCTTCTTGCTCTGTACGCAATCTCTTCTTGGCACGCATGGATATGTGTACTTTTTCATACCATCCGCATGACCGTAGATGTGACAGCGCATCTTTCTTTAGGCTGAGGAAATATGCAAACATAACCAATTATAGGTTAGCTATCACATCAAATATAATCTTAAGTATTACGTTAAGGCACAAAACTGAAATTACCTCTCTTTAATTGCTTCAAGTTCATTCCGAGATGATTCATCTTTTCTGAGCAAAATGCAAGGGTCTTTCTTTGTTGAAGAGCCCATGGCTTTGGATTGAGTGGTAGTAACACCGTTCTTCTCAGTTTCCTGCTGATCAGTTCCATTATGTGAGCCATTACTCTTGCATGGATTTAAGTTATCCTTGTTGTGATCACCCCCATTGCTGAAGCCATTACTACGCTCATGTGGTTGCAATGTCACTTTATGATTACTACTACCTGGTGCAGTGCCGTTTTCTTTAACTCCATTGCCACCATTTTCAGTACCAAATTTTCTCTCCGTGCCAGAGAAAACTCTAGTTGATGAAACTGATACACTATTCTCTTTGTTCGCCTTTGGAGCTATGTTCTCATCTTGGTGGAAAGAAAGTCTACCATTGACAGAAGGAGAGACCCTTTTCGCACCAAGGTTGATACTGACCTTCGCATGTGGCATTAGAGGCGCCTTTTCAACTTTGGAAGAAAGTAGGTTATCCTCTTGGAGGGCCTGCTGGTTTCGTGCTTTGGGTCCAATAAATTTATGGGGCTTTGTAGGAACCAGGTTATCCTTCTGGAAGGACTGGTCGGCTTGAAGTTTCATGTTCACACCATTAAGGGGTCCAATAAACTTCTGAGGCTTCGATGTCTCGCAGCCATTAACCTCATGAGATGTAGTCCCATTTGTTGTTACCAGAATTTGTGCAGATACTGGCCTCTGGTTTGAACGGCTGAAAAACAGGATATAAGCTTTCTCTGACAAAACCTCCTGCAAGGTGGAGCGTGAGACAAGTGAATCATTGCAGCAATACCATTGACCCAAGGAATCCTACACAAAGCAGTTAAGAAATCAGCAAGCAGTACAAGTGTTTGCGTTACATGAAAATTAAAAAGGCAAGAAACGAACCTTAACGTATGCATAATAATGCCCAGATTCAGGAGAAAGTCCTGCATGCACAATTATTCCAAATAGCTTGTATTCCGTTTGAGGGTCCTGCAATTTTTGGCATAGTAAATCAATTAACAGAAATATGAATTAGAAAGTACAATTGCGCCTGACAAGAATATTTGTCCTATCATATTATTGGACAGGGATTTAAAGGATAAAACTTAGCCAACGTAAAAACTATGAACGTTGCAACTTCATTCATATTGTGTATGCAAATGAGGTTGAGAATCCAGCTAAACACTACACCAAACTATATGTCTCGCACTATAAACCTGAACTTTCTGATATGCATCTAACTAGACACCGCTAACAGAAAGTGGCTATGACTTATGGCTTATTTGAAAGTGTCAGAATCTTGTACCTTGCTTGCTTTACTCATGAAGTTCGAGAGAACCAGAATCTCACCAAATGAAATTGCTTTATCAATCTTCCCACCATAAATACCCTCAAACCTCTGAAAACCAATTTTTAAAAAAAATTAAGAATATTCTATCTGAAATAACTGTCACCTTTTGTAAACAGAACATGATATACTTACTTTCAATTGGATAACAAGGATATTAGGCGCTTGGAGTACTGACATCTGCTTCCTTGCCGTCACCAATTTCTTACAGCTAAACAAATGGAAAATTTCTGTTATAAGAAAAGAATAAAACGAACCTCACACTGAAAGATAAGGAAAGAAAGACAACTAAAAGTTCAATTTACTTACGTCTCGCATTTATACTTGTTGTTGCCGTCTAAAATCTCAGATTGAAAGAACTTTTGCAATGATTCTTTGACTGAGTTACTGTGCAAAATTTCGAGACTGATATCCATAATTTCATCCGCTTTATTCGACTCCGCACCACATGACAAACACTTCACCTGGCTCTGCAAAGTACCACCAAAAATCTCTTTCACTGCAGAATTGCCATTAAAGGGCTCATTCCCCTTCACTCGCAACTTCTTCAGGCGGACAGACGTATTGTGGCATGCATCAATGACATACCGCAAGAACTCATGAGCGTCCTCTTGACGCCCAAACTTAAAATGCTCAGCAAAAATTTTGAGGCAACTTGAAATCTTGTTAGGCGCATCGGTTGTAAGATCCACACTAAGAGACCTTGCTATTCTTTTCTCAACTATGCAAAAAGGGCAATCCCGTTTCCGTTCCCCATCCACATATGAGTCACCTAGTCCCGAAGGAACACATCACCAACGAAAAGCGTCAGAACAACAAATGAATATTAGGAAAGAAAAAGAAGCTCGTAAGAAATAGAAGTATCTCTGATGATTCCATTAGCAACTACAATACCAAAACCTGTACGAAGCTTATAATCAACTTCTTAATGATAAAGTCTCGATCGCCTATTAGCCTATAAACTTAAAGCGTGAAATCAATACGGAACAAGAGAGAAGTAATCTAATATGGAAGCAACATAAGAACAAAAATCTCAAAACGAGAGAGAAGGAGAGGCGTACAGTGAGAGGAGTGTTTGTGAGTAAGACAATAATTAGCGAGAGGAGGAGTGTAAGTGAGGCACTGAAGGACACTATTGAGGTAGCAGGTGTTGCCGAGATTGCGTAACCCTAAGGGAGGACCATTCCTACGCTTCTGACTCAGTAGACTCGGCATCCAGCTCATCTGCAGCTTAAATCCCATTCAAAATCGGTTGCTCCCCGCCGGAGAAAACCACAGAAGCAACCGCTCATCACTGACTCGCCGCCACGGCGAAGCCAACAGCTGCGATCGCATCTCTCGCCACCACCAACAACAACAACGAGGCGTTTGTTTCTTCTCTTCTCTTCTAATTCACGCGATTAGGCTTCCCCTCGCGTCAATTTCTAGTAGAAATTTTACGAGGAAGATTTAACGATTTCGAGCTTTGGCTCAAGGAAGAAGAAGATCGAATTCGATGAAGGTAACCGCCGAGGGAAGAGACCCGCCCAGCAACAAACCCCACAAATCCTTCGCGAGGTTATTTACCCTCTCCCTTTTTTATTTTTTTATTCTTAAATATAAATTTCCAGGTAGGTAACCAAAAAAAGGAAATACTCGTTACTGGGCTTCTTAGGCCCATTATTAAACCAGTAGGATATCACAACACACTTATCTCCATTTAGGAATACTTTAATTTAAGCTGATGATATTAATAAATGTCAAATGAATAACTCATGATATATTACCAAAATAAAAGTATATACTCTTCTTGGAAAAGAAAAAAGAAAGCAAAAATTTTCTCTTTCTTATTTTGTTTTCTGCTATATGTGAATGAAAGATAATATTCATATTATTAACCTACCAATTGTGAAAAACATTTACGAGAATCAAACCATTAGATTAAATCTTTTTTTTTTTCCTTTCTTTCTGGTACAGATAGTGTTGTGTAAGTTATATAATTCGGACGGTACATATGAGAAAACAAACAATCAAAGATTACCTCAAGACTGATGGTGAGAAACTATATTTTTCAAGAATCTAGGCCATCATCATCTCTCTGTATTAGTATTAGCTTGTGTCACCAACGGTATTGATTCACCATCAGCTGGAGTTTCTGAGGTAACTTTGGATGCTTCCTTCTTCAGCTTATGGTTGTTATAAGCTGCTACACCGGCAATGGCTGCGTATGAACATCGAACACAACATAAGAGGAAGCTTGAGGATAATGCTCATGATTCTAAACAATCTAATATGTTAAGGAGCTTTGTCTTACCTATGGCGTAACCGAAAAGATTAATGACTGTGAGTTTTGTGTCCGCAAAGAGAAGAGCTGAGACCAAGACAACTACCCAATCCTTGACAACGCCAGCAACTCGGATAGTGAGAGCGCTTGTGTGAGAAATCACCAGGAAAACTGACAAGTTGAGGGCAAATGTACAGAGGGAATTAAGGGTCAACACTACAAAATGGAAGTTCCATGTGCCATTGCCTTCCATCTTCGATTTCTCTAGAAAGATCCACGGTACAAACAAGCAAATAGCACTGCAAAAAGAGGCACATAAAAATAAAGTCAACTTTACGCTTACACAATGAGAGAATTTTGAGATGGCTTCTTCTTCGACTTCACTTACCTGCAGGGACTCACGTAGTACATAAGAGAGATTGGGTTTAATTTGATGCCCTTCCTCTTGACAAGAAGTTCCATGAATATCAGCCTCAAGGCTTCCCCAACAACACCACCCATTTGGTAAACCACTCCGATCCAGTTGATATTTAATTCTCCATAAGAAGCCACTAAAACACCGAAACTAATGATAGACATTATCAAAAGCATCCTGCAGCTCATCATTTCAAGTCCAGCAGCTACTCCAAGAATAAACACAGCAACAGGCACTGCAAGTATGGTTCAAGAACGTATTGGTATCAACCGTTCCTCTCATTCAGATATGAGAAGAAGTAGACATAAGACTTGTGAGGAAATGAGAGCAGGAACAGTTTCTTACTTATGGCCTTCAACATCTGCGCAAATGCAACTGATATGTATAGGTAGGCAGTGTTTCCCAACCAGAGGGTCATTGCAAACATTGCACCTATTGGAATAACTGATGTAACATATCTGAGTACATAAAGTAAGTTATTTATTACTTAACCAATAACCATAGATCAGTACTACATTAATAATAAAAGTTATGGGCATTTCAACTACTCCAAAATCAAATTGCTTACGAAGTCTCTTTCTTCCTTACATTTCTAGTGTCATTCCATCCTCAACCTCCACGATCTTCATGGAGAAATAGATAGAGAAAAAGAGAGACAAAAAATTAGAATCTTTGCATTCTCTACTTATGAACACCGAATACAGAAAGATCATTAAATGCAACATTACCTTAAGAACTTTAGTAAGAATAAAGCACAAGACAGAGGAAAAGATCATGTGGAGCAACGTCAATCCAAGCGGATAAGGGAAATTGATTTCCTTAGATGACAAAACCCACTGCAGAAGAGCAAATCAGAGACAAGAACATTAAGTCAAGGAAGCAAATTTCCATTAACAACCATGTCTTGAGAACAAAAGAAGGAAATCGTTAATTGCTATAAATTGGACAACGGTGAACTCTGATGCATAAGCACTAACACAAAGAGGGCGGCATTAGACACACTCAGCTGCTCAGCAACAATTTCTCAAAGACTTAAAATCGAGCTTATGAGATTATCAATTCTCAGGAATTACACAAGTTTCTTAAAGGACAGTCAGAATATCATACAGAACGTACGAGCACAAGAACCTAATCTGAAATATTTGATTCACCGGGTTAAGAAGAAAGCAAACGCAATGCGATCAGACCTGACTGATGTTGATTTCTACACTATCCATGGAATTTAAAAATCAGCTAGTCAACTTCCCGGGAAACTAACACAGTCAGAAGAAAATTCACATTCCACCAAACCTCCCACACAATCAATGAATCAAAGCTCAATCCTTTACGAAAACTAGCGATCGGGTTTCTTAAAATCGAAATAACTCAAAAACAATACGATGCGAGAATTGAACACAGATCCAAGGAGAAACAGATTGTGAGATTTAAGATAAACCTTATTAAAGAAGATTTGACCACTAGAAAGGGCGATGTAAAGTAAAATGTAAGCATACGTCACGAATTCATCTCTCATACAGCCTTTGCTCCGATCCGCCATTGAAACCGATGATTGTGATCTCCGATTAAACAAAACGTTTTCGCCTCTGTTTCTTATTTTCCCACTATTCCGACTGATTTGTTTTTTTCTTTCTTCTTCTCCTTCACTGAGTGTGTGTATCTATCTATTTCACTTTTCCAAGTTCTCTCAACTCTCAAACAAACAAACCAGCTAAATAAAAGAGACGACTATGACGTGTCGCATATTATGATGGGCTTTTCCATCACCACATTTAAAGCTCAATAGTTTTGGGCTTTTATTCTACAAATTAGGCCCATCAATGCTGCTCCTTACTTCGCACTATTTAGTATTTTGTTCTTGTCCTGTGGTGGTGTTTGCAGTTTCATCACAATTGGTATACACTATGTGAAATTATAATTATTTTTCCTCGAGAACGTGAACGATAATATGGAAGAAAATCTAAGGAACACACAAGTTGCTTGTGTGGATTAGACACACCCCATCTCATCTTTGTCCGTATCTCCACGACGATTCTTCACCTCCAGCTTCTCATCCATATTATAATCCCAACTTTCCAATAATTATTCCACTGTTACAAATTTAATCCATCCAAAAACAAATATTTTTTTAACATATAACCAAATATAAAAGTTGGTTTATATATGATATAAGCTCTCAGTCACACCCTTCATCTCTCTCCAGAGCTATCTCATCAAGGTGTGTTAGATTCTGTGAACTGAGACTGTGTGTCTGAATTCTGGAGAGTATAATCACGACTGATAACTAACTCAGGGATTTTTGCTTTTGTTTCACAGACCAACACCGAAAGATGGAGATCACAAACGTTACCGAGTATGACGCAATCGCAAAGCAGAAGTTGCCTAAGATGGTATACGACTACTATGCGTCTGGTGCAGAAGACCAATGGACTCTTCAAGAAAACAGAAACGCTTTTTCAAGGATCCTGTGAGTTATTATTTTGTTATGATAAGATACACTTTGTTATTGGTTCTTACATGAGATGTGATTTGATATGTACATACCTTGGGATGTATTTAATAGCTTCCGGCCTCGGATTTTGATTGATGTGAACAAGATTGATATGGCAACAACCGTCTTGGGGTTCAAAATCTCGATGCCGATCATGGTTGCTCCTACTGCCATGCAAAAGATGGCTCACCCTGATGGTAAAATGACGTTTGCTTTTCCTTGAAACATTATATAGAAACTGAGTCAGTTCTAGATAGTGAAACTTGTTTTAGTACCACTAGAGACAAAGATTAAGACTTCCACTAATCGGAACTAATGCAGGGGAATATGCTACGGCTAGAGCTGCCTCTGCTGCTGGAACCATCATGGTATGTTATTATATATGGACGATTCATCCAAAGAGCTTCTTAAACCAACAACCGTGCATAACCATTTTTCTGGTTTGTATTATTTTATTCCATGGTGCTTCAGACACTATCTTCATGGGCTACTTCGAGTGTTGAAGAAGTTGCTTCTACAGGGCCAGGGATCCGATTCTTCCAGCTCTATGTAAGTTACCTCGAGAGCTTGTTGTATATCCCAAAAATCTGGTCACACTCACACTTGACTTGATGATTGTTCACACTTGATGATTGTTCTGAGTAGGTATACAAGAACAGGAAGGTGGTTGAGCAGCTCGTGAGAAGAGCTGAGAAAGCTGGTTTCAAAGCCATTGCTCTCACTGTAGACACCCCAAGGCTAGGTCGCAGAGAGTCAGATATCAAGAACAGGTAAATCCGCAACAACTGAAATGTGATAACAGTTGATTAGACTCGACTCCAACATGCAAACATATAGCTAAGAAATTACAGAGATTAACGATATGTGTTCTTCTACAACAGATTCACTTTGCCTTCAAACCTGACATTGAAGAACTTTGAAGGTCTGGACCTTGGAAAGATGGACGAGGCAAGCATCGATCAGATTGTATCCAATACTTTAGTCTGAATAGTGGCAATGATCCACTCAAAAAAAAAAAAAAAATTAAAGCATACGGTTTTGTTTCCTGATTTGTTCCTAAACTTGTAATATTTTCACCTGCAGGCCAATGACTCTGGCTTGGCTTCATATGTTGCTGGTCAAATTGACCGTACCTTGAGCTGGAAGGTAAGAGAACATAAAAAAAATGTTTAGATAGTACAGCAAAACCGATTAATTTGAACATAAACTTGATTCAGATTGCTCTAACTTTCACCTACACAAACAGGATGTCCAATGGCTCCAAACAATCACCAACTTGCCAATTCTTGTCAAGGGTGTTCTTACAGGAGAAGATGGTGAGTTACCATTTTTATTAACAAATGTTTTCAACAGTTGAGTTTCATAGAAATATCTGACAAGGTCAACAATTATTTATTTGCCTCGTGCAGCAAGGATAGCGATTCAAGCTGGAGCCGCAGGGATCATTGTGTCAAACCATGGAGCTCGCCAGCTTGACTATGTCCCAGCCACAATCTCAGCCCTTGAAGAGGTAGATCATCCCCAACTACAAGCATCAATCAATATGTGTTCTCGTGTAAGTGCTTTGTCCAACCATTTGAGTTCTGTTCTAATGTGTTCAGGTTGTCAAAGCGACGCAAGGACGAGTCCCTGTCTTCTTGGATGGTGGTGTTCGACGTGGCACAGATGTCTTCAAGGCACTTGCACTTGGAGCCTCAGGGATATTTGTAAGCATCATATTTCTATTCACCAGAAAGAAAACTTGAAACCATTTACAGTAACAACACAGTATTTCTAATACTCTCAATCTCACAGATTGGAAGACCAGTGGTATTCGCACTAGCTGCTGAAGGAGAAGCTGGAGTCAGAAAGGTGCTTCAAATGTTACGTGATGAGTTCGAGCTAACCATGGCACTAAGTGGGTGCCGGTCACTGAGTGAAATCACCCGCAACCACATTGTCACTGAATGGGATACTCCACGGCATTTGCCAAAGTTATAGAGAAAAAAAAAAAACAAAAAAAAAACAACAACAACACAGAGCATGTAATGCCTAAACCTATTCATATTTTGATTGATCGATCACATGGCTTTTACTCTGTTTTTTTTCTTTCTTTCATAATATATCTCAAGACTTGTTTTTCCCTGTATTGAAACACAAACAATGGCTATTCTCTGTAATGCTATTTGGCGACTTCTACCTTCTGTTCATTCTTCTTGTTTGTACAATATATTTCTAGGCTACTCATGTGTTCTATAATCTGATTGACACTAGCACAGTCCTATTTTACATTATTGCACATAAATCTGTGACACAAACTAACAGCAGCCAGAACCTTACGTAAGGTTGCAATCTAACAATACGATGCGGTAACACAGATCAAGAAAAAGATAAGTTTAAACCATTCAAACTAAACCTCATTGAAGAAGATTTGCCTTAGCTCCTCTCTGTTATTTTCCCTTCTTTCTTCAGTTCTTGTTTCTCAACGACTGCGCTGGGCTCTGTCTCGCATAGTAAAGCCCAATAGAATTTGGCTCGCTCTTGGATTTATATTGCACTTTCAGAAAGACAGGAAAACAAATTATTAATATTTCGTGGAGATTAAGAACACGATAATATGAAAGAAAAATATGACACACACATTCCATCTGATCTTTTGTCTTTATCTCCTCCTCCATTCTTCACCTCCAGCTTCTCATCCATATTAGTTTTTTTCTATTGCCAACATTTTTTTTTTCAACTGTTACAGAAATAATTATTTACGAGCCAATCAATCCATCACAAATATTATACATATTTAACCCAAAAAAATAAAATATATTAAACGTTAAGATATATATTACAAGCTCCGGTTACCACTCGCACTCTTCATCTCTCCCTAGAGCTCCATTCCAATCAAGGTGAGTGGAATTCTCTGTTTATACTAAACAGTTCATGGACATGTTTTCTCTCTAAACGTAGCTATGACTATGTCTGAATTTCACAAAAGACAGCTAACTCATGTCTTCTTTTGCTCTTTTTGACAGACCAACGTCCGAAAATGGAGATCACAAACGTTACCGAGTATGACGCCATCGCCAAGCAGAAGTTGCCTAAGATGGTTTACGACTACTATGCGTCTGGTGCAGAGGACCAGTGGACTCTTCAAGAGAACAGAAACGCTTTTGGAAGGATCCTGTGAGTGTTTCTTTTCTTTTCTTACGACATGAAATCTCTTGTTTATGATTGGCTTTTACAAGAGATGTGATGCATACCTTGGGCTGTTTAATAGCTTCCGCCCACGGATTTTGATTGATGTGAACAAGATTGACATGGCAACCACTGTCTTGGGGTTCAAAATCTCGATGCCGATCATGGTTGCTCCTACTGCCATGCAAAAGATGGCTCACCCTGATGGTAAATACTAAGTTATGTAGAGACCGCAGAGTGAACTTGTTTAGAGACAAAGACTAAAGTCGCTCTAACTACTCTGTTTGGTTACTAATGCAGGAGAATATGCTACCGCTAGAGCTGCATCTGCAGCTGGAACTATCATGGTATACTATATCATTAATTCATTACCTAATATTTCCTCCAAAGCAAAATTCTTAACCTTTTCTGTGTTTGGAGATTTTAAATCCGCGACGCATACCCATGTCTCTGGTTTGAGTTATTTTCTTCCATGATTTATCAGACACTATCTTCATGGGCTACTTCCAGTGTTGAAGAAGTTGCTTCCACAGGGCCAGGGATCCGTTTCTTTCAGCTCTATGTAAGTCATCTCGAGAGCTTGTTGTACATACTGAAAACCCTGGTCACACATGATGGTTCACACATTATGATTGTTGAATAGGTATACAAGAACAGGAATGTGGTTGAGCAGCTGGTGAGAAGAGCTGAGAGGGCTGGGTTTAAAGCCATTGCTCTCACTGTGGATACCCCAAGGCTAGGGCGTAGAGAGTCTGATATAAAGAACAGGTAAAGCCAAGTCAGTTGGAATATGATGAGAGTTTACTGGATTTTAAAATGCGAACACATCACTCAAAAGCATAACGTTCTTCTGCTACAGATTCACTTTGCCTCCTAACCTGACATTGAAGAACTTTGAAGGTCTTGACCTCGGAAAGATGGATGAGGTAAGCATTCATTAGATATTATCCAGCCTTATATCCTGAATATGATGCTCACTAAGCAGCATTAAAGCAGAGTTGTTATGTTTATTCCTGAGTTCCTGAGCTAGTTATGTTTCCACCTGCAGGCCAATGACTCTGGCTTGGCTTCATATGTTGCTGGTCAAATTGACCGCACCTTGAGCTGGAAGGTAAACATAGAAGTTTAAATGACAAACAACAAACCGAGTAGTTAAAACTTAGAACAGAAACTTGACTTATGACTGCTCTCTTTTCATTTACACGAATAGGACGTCCAGTGGCTCCAGACAATCACCAAATTGCCTATTCTTGTCAAGGGTGTTCTTACGGGAGAGGATGGTGAGTTCCCAGCTGACAAACAAATGTCTGCTTCCCTTAAGTTTAATAAAAACACCTAACAACCTCAACTGTTTCATTCTATGTGCAGCGAGGATAGCGGTTCAAGCTGGTGCAGCCGGGATCATTGTGTCAAACCATGGAGCTCGCCAGCTTGACTATGTCCCAGCAACAATCTCAGCCCTGGAAGAGGTAGATCATTCTCGAATAAGTATATCAAATTTCTGTGTTGTCAACAAGTTTTTCTTTCCAGCAAATATCATATCCTGTGTTCAGGTTGTCAAAGCGACACAAGGACGAATTCCTGTCTTCTTGGATGGTGGTGTTCGCCGTGGCACAGATGTCTTCAAGGCACTTGCACTTGGAGCCTCCGGAATATTCGTAAGCATCATACGTCATTTATCAGAAAATTGACTGAAACCAATGACAGTGATAAGACATTATTATTATTATGCCCTCTCAATCTCAGATTGGAAGGCCAGTGGTATTCGCATTGGCTGCTGAAGGAGAGGCTGGGGTTAGAAAGGTGCTTCAAATGCTGCGTGATGAGTTCGAGCTGACCATGGCACTGAGTGGATGCCGGTCTCTAAAGGAAATCTCCCGTAACCACATTACCACCGAATGGGACACACCACGTCCTTCGGCCAGGTTATAAAGAGAATACAACAACAAGAAGCAGAGAACAGAAGAAACACAGAACACGTAATGGCTAAAAATATTCATACTCTGATTAGTCACTAGGATTTCTACTCTGCTATTTATCTCAGGACTTGTTTCTCCCTCTACCAAATACACAAACCAAGCCTAGAGATTCTGTAATGCTATTTGGCTACTTCTTTCTTCAGTCCATTCTTCTTTCTAAATTCCATATATTTACATCCCCACGATATAAGTTTATTGTGATTCCCAGAGAACATGAACATAGCAATGAACACAGTGAGTGTAGTGACTGCAACCGAACTCTTTATTAATCAAAAACACAAACGAAGGAGAATTACATTGACCTATTGAACAAACTGACATGTACAACAGAAGAGAAAGATAAGCTTTCATTGCCGTATACACACACACCTCCTCCTACAGAAACATGAGACCGATAACTAACAATTTCTAATTTCATTTAGAACGGCCAGATGTCAGATCCACCGGGTTTCTCCACAAGAATCCGATTGTACTCAGGCCTCGCCGTCTGCAAAAAGAAGCAAATCAACATGAGAAAAAATGCAAACAAACCGGAGACGAAATCGAGATTTTACAAAAGGAACTAGCAGGACACTCGATGTACCAGATCTTTGAAGATGACGTAGGTTATAATGATGAAGAGCACAAAGAGGATCTCAAACTCAGCCAATCGGAAGAAATAGAATACTGAGTCAACAAACCGGGTCAGAAGAGAGTCGTCTCTCTTCATACCGACTCGATTCGTTCCAGCACGCCGGCCGATCATCTTCGATTTCAATCCTTCCGCTGGCTTTGATCACAAACTACCGTCGTCGCTTCTCGCTTGTTCTCTCCCGAATCTTACCGGCGACTTTGTTATTCCGTTCGACGACGAAGATAATGTTTGCTTTTATCTTTAAAGATCTTTAAAGGCCTTTTTCCAACTCACACGACAATATGGGCCGTTATTTTTTAAAGGCTGTATATCATCAGAGCCCAATAAGAGTGGGTTAAAGAAACGACAAGTTGTTCACCGTGCTATAGCAAGGACGGCATGTTTTTTTATACAATGTGATACTAGAATCTCTCAGCCATTGGCGAAGGTCAGTCGACATTTGCCGGCTTCGTCTTCACCCCTGTCGTCTCCCTAGAGATCAGATCACCGAGTTTCGCACTTCAATCGTTGCTCCAGGTACGAATTCTGAATCTTTTCATTGCAAAATTAGGTTATGAATCAGGAATATGCTCGAAATTAGTGTTCTTTGTAGACGAAATTAAGAAACCTTTAAGCTCAAAAATCAGTTTTTTCATAATGGGTTTGATCTGCTCTGTAAAAGTCAGTTTAGAAATTTTGATATATGAACTGTTTGCTCTATTTTGAAATATAGAAATGGATTGGCAAGGGCAAAAGTTAGCGGAAGAGCTGATGCAAATCCTGCTCATAGCATTTGGTGGTGTTGCTTTCATTGCTGGATATGCAACGTCTTCGTTTGGGACAATGATTATGATCTATGCTGGAGCTGTGCTTTTTACAGCTATGTTCACTATCCCTAGTTGGCCTTTCTTCAGTCGTCATCCCCTCAAGTGGTTAGATCCAATTGAAGCAGAGAAGTATCCGAAACCTGAACTGACGACTGAGTCTTGGAAGAAGAGAAAGAATAAGCACTGTTAGGTTTGATTCTTTGAGCTTCTCTGTTGTGGAGTTCAACATTGTTTGATATAGCTATTTTCTCAATCTTTACCTGGATAGACCCTTTTGATGTAATGAGATGAGATGTTCTAAATTGCAAAGCTTTGGTGATCAAAGAAGTGATTGTCGGATTTAGTTTTGTTTATCTTCTATGTTCATTATAAGAAATTCTGGTTAGATAAGGTGTTCAAGGTAGGGATTAACCATAACTATATATGGCTTTCTTCTTAAGCATTGCTGTGGAAGGTTGAAACTCTTTCTAAGATTAGTTGCAGAACTGTGTCAGGGCTCCCAATATTTAAGTCACAGCGGAAGCTGAAACGTTTTCTGTCTTCAGCTAGTAGGTTAAAGCCCAGTAGTTGTTCGCGAAATGATGATGCATCATGTTTCTATGTGTTTCACTAGTTGACCACATGATTCTCCACTTGATTTAGCAGCATTATTGTTTGGCTAGCAGACATATGTTTTAGCTGATCCTTGTGGATGCAAGATCCGCAGCCGGTTTTTCGTATTAGCGGATCGGTCTTAGGTCTTTGTCATGTGAGCTGAATGACCTACGTACATTGCGTGAAAAGAATTATCAGAGTTCTTTATTCATGGGCCTTGTCACTTGCTTGGTTGAGTAAGAAACCCAACACCAACAGTCCTTATCAGAAGTTGCAGTCCTAGTATGTCGGCGGATGTATTTGGCAGCCTTTCTTCTCTTGACCTTATCAGAATTTTCCAATCCGGTTTCAACCTCCAAGTGGGTCATGTAAGAAGCATCGTTTTCATGTCGTTAAAGAGATGGAGAGAATGTTAAAAGAGAGAAGATTTGTTGTTCTTCTTCTTCGTAATCAGTGAGTGCCCTATGATACTGGGTTTGTATTACGTTGACGGTCACGTGGTAGTGTCCATCTCTGGCCTTCAAAACCTCTAATACGTCCAGAGGTTTCTGCGCGTGGCTGATTAAGACATTTTATCCCTTTCGGGAATATGACGATGATGAAAGCAAATTGATTTACGTTAAATGCCAAAAGAAAAAAAGATAATGAGAAGTGGTCTGCTTTATCCATTTTGTGGCTTTCAGTCATGTGCTAAAGTTTTCATATCATCATCTTAAGGCGGTCCATGGTGACTTGCCTCGAGACAGAGTTTTCTTTGTCGTGATATTGCAAGATATGCAAACTGATAAATATTTTTATTGTAATAGTAACTTGCCAACTATATTTAATATGCTTGACATATCATGTATTGAATCACGTTCATATATACATACCAACGTACGTTTTGTAACATTGCTTGTTTCAGTATTTGTTTCTAGTTCTGTGTATCCAAGGAAAATTGCAAGCTTAAAATTCCAAGTTTTAGGTAATCCCTTCGATCAGAGATAGTTTAGTAAGTTAGTCACCTACCGAACACTACGACTGGAGTCTAATAATTTGACTCTAGCTCGTAATTGAGACGTATTAATTTTCTATGAAGCTAGGTGTCTTAGGAACACCGATCAGTCATCAATATCGCTACTAGAGATAGGTTTTGTAGAGGTTTTTATTTCGGAGTTGTCTCAATAAGATTGTTAGGGTGTTTTTCAGGTTTGATTCAAACAAAATCGGTTTTATATTTTGTTCCTTTTTGCACGGTATGATTCAAGTTCGAAATTTGGTTTTTAGATTATGTATTCAATAAAACTATTTAAACTATATTACGTTCTATACAGTTCAAATTTTTTGCACCGTTTGGTCAAATCATATCAGTTTATGAAACGAACACCACCAACTAAACTCATATCAAACTAAACAAAAGCAAGCAACCCAATGGTTTTAGTGTTGTATTCTAAGTAACTGGATAAAATTATATATGTAGCAGCTACTAAAGAAAGAAAAAAATAGGATAATGGGTAACATCCTAATCAGTGTGTGTGTGTATTGTGTAATATTCACGTGAACATTGAAAGATTATGACGGATGATAAATGGCATTCTAATATATAATGCGAATTGAAAAACAAAACAAAAAATTACGAAGAAAATATTGTACTATATTCCGTCAAAAAGAAGAAAAAAGATTGTACTATAAAAAAAATATATAAATACGATCGTATTGTATTAAAATATAACATCATAAATCAAAAACATGATTGGCCTATCTTAACGCTGAAAGGTCGACCTCCACACAACACAAATCTCCCCAGCTGTTTAATGCTGTTGGTTTCTTTCTGGGGAGCTTTACATTATCAAATATATAAAAAAATGTATATATATTTTAAACATCAAAATATTCATTGATATTGGATCGATTAGTTTTATAAAATAAGCTAAGGATCATGCATGCAGATTCGATGCGATATATATCCAAGTAAAATTCGAAACCTAGCTATATTATTAGATCGATGATGACACTTAAATATATGGTAGTTACTAGTTAGTTAGGATATTGTATAAAAATATATGCACATATGTATTATATGCTAAAGTTTTGGAAGTAATGTGGCGTGCATTATTGGCGTTTTTATCTTTCTTTCTTTCTTTATAATATTATGAGAGGCACGATTATAGTGGTATACATCATCTTGTTCGTCACTCTCTCCTCCTCCAATTTCTTCACATTTTAAATATTATGTACCCAATGAATTTTCGAATATTATATATTCTATATATTTGTTGCAATAATCACTCATCGCTTTGACGCTTTTTTTATCCACAACAAACGACTTGTATGCATCAATGTATGAACTATGAACACGTGCCCCAGTCAAGCTTGAGTTATTCTCTCTTTTCTTTTTCATACTTTATTATTCTTACTTTGAGCAACCACGATTGGAGAGCAGTCACGAATACATTTATAATAATTCGGTTTTTCATTACTATATATACTCTCATCAGACTTCCAACTTTAAGGAGTTTAGAAAATGACAAAAGTCTTTCTATTAAAACTCTATATAATGACTACTATCTATAATCTCTATATAATATGTACATTTCGATCCCATGTACATCACATAAATGTCTATATAATATATATACACACACACTATGATTTTATAAAGTATAAAGTAAAAATTATGAACACGTATACACATATATGTGTCATGTTTGGGTACATGTATCTCTTGCTTGAACCATTCTTTAGTGTCGACTTCCCGATATAGTAACACATGTAAAAGTTGAATGAATAATAGCTTACTAGACATGCTGTGCATACAACTTCAATTATTTAAACTCAAACAGTGTTGAAAGCATAGGGGTCCCCTGGACATTTCTTGTCACTATTTAAATAAATTATTATCTTTGGACATTTCAATATACTTTTAGCTTAGCATTCGCTCGTTTTGGTTCGATGGGTGATCTTAAGTTCATAACTAAAGTTTGCTGCCACTTGCCACGTACCCTCTTGCTCAACTATCAAATTATCTTATTTTATTCCCACATACACATATACTTTGAACTATACAACATGTACTGTCGAAGAGAATAAGAATATCCTTCGACATTTTCGTTGAGTTAATCATTTGATGCTTTATTGTTTTATCTGACCATAATTTTAAAACTTAAACCAATATAGAAGCAAAAGAGCTATATAACTTACAGGAATCCAAACTTTTACAACAAACAGAAAATGCTAGAGCATTACATTTTCATTTTCCTTTAACACTTGTATTTGCATACTTTTCATTTTCGTACGTGTTACAAATGTTTTCCATTATATATAGTTAAGAGAAAATATATACTTGTTAAGTTTTGAGAACAGCAATGAACTCCTAACATGGTTTATTCGTTGTTGTGGTCTCTTCTGTCCAATGAAGAGCCAACTAAAGCGCCGCAAAACTACTCAATGGCTAGTTAATAAGGATGAACAAATTATGCAGATCGACAGAGAAAACAAATTAAAAGATCGGCTTCTATATTTTATGGCCTCCACTTGCTAAGTATGTCTATAAGCTATGGACTCTACGTAACCTTATTATAAGCTAGATAAAACTTTTGATTATATATAAATAGCTATATATAATACTCCGGATTAATTGATAAATCGTATAAAATGATAGAATGGTATTGTAGGGCTGTGGCTCTTTACAGTTTTTTTGTTTTGGTTTTCAATCATATAATTGTGCGGTATCTTAATATGTGGTTTTGAATATTCTGCTATTTCATCAATTATAACATTAATAACTAATGTTCCCACATCCATTAAATTTGACACTAGATTATATTTTAAAACTGAATTCTCTTAATTAGTAATTTCTTTATTTGTTCCTTTAATTTTAGATTGGACCATCACTATTGTAGACTTTGGCACACATGTTATAAAAGTAAACAATTCTAGAAAAAAAAAGTATCAGAGCACACACAGCTGCGACATGTGAACCTTACAATACCAACCGCATATTCTCTTGTTAGCTAAGAAGTAAGAACCTTTTGAATATATAATAACTTCATAAAAATATCTATTTACATAAGAAAGACAAAAAAGAACAAGATCTCACATATAGGGTCCGAATGGTGACAGCGAATTTGGTTGTGCGGGACAAAAATTTTAATGGTGCAGTACGGTTCAACTGCGGTACATGCGGGACAAATATATTTGCGGGACAAATGCGGTTAATGCAAAATAAGCGGTACAAAACAATGTTTGAATGGTAAAAATCTATTTGCGGTGCGGATTTCGTATTATTATTATTAATAATTATACTAATTATTAATAATAAAATATATATTTATGCATTTATGAGTATATATAGATTCATACTATTATTTTTTTATTATAATAAGCATTATAACAGAAAATTTTAAAATTTTTTAATTTAGTTAATATATGATTTAATAGTACTTCTAAATTAAAAAGTTCACTATAGTTTAAGATTATGTAAATCTGCTTTTAATGCTAAAACTAATTATTTTATAATTTGTGAAGAAATTATGAAGTAAGCTATTTTTCTCAAAAGATACATTTGAAAAGTATAATATTTATGAGAATATTGAAAAATTTAAATTAAATTTAAATTAAAAGCCCTATTTAGAATACAAATTAAATCTTATTATTTTATTATTTTGTAAAGTAAGCTATTTATTGATTCTCCAGAAAAATACATTTTACCAATAAATTATTTATAAAAATAACAGTTTAAATTTTAAAAAAACTTGTCCCTTCGGGACATGATAATTTT